TTATAGTCACTGTGACTAATTATAATCAAGTTCAAGACTATAAGTCACTAATTTAGTCACCTAAAGTACAATAGATCTCTTGAACTTATACCTTCCGTCAAACTGACCTTTGGTGTCATTTGACCAAAATGTCACCAACCCACCCCCCTAGCACCTGGTAATCACCATAATACTTTTTCTTTTCTTTCTTTCTTTTCTTTGAGATGGAGTCTCACTCTGTCACCAGGCTGGAGTGCAGTCGCGTGATCTCGGCTCACTGCAACCTCTGCCTCTTGGGTTCAAGCAATTCTCCTGCCTCAGCCTCCCGAGTAGCTGGGACTACAGGTCCACACCAGCACACTCGGCTAATTTTTGTACTTTTAGTAGAGATGGGGTTTTACCACGTTGGCCAGGATGGTCTCGATCTCTTGACCTCGTGATCCACCCGCCTCGGCCTCCCAAAGTGCTGGGATTACAGCCGTGAGCCACTGTGCCCGGCCAATAATCACCATAATACTTTTTCTTGTGAGTTTGACTTCTGGAGCCTCTACATATGGGTCAGATCATGTGGGATTTGGCTTTCTGCGGCTTATTTTACTTAATGTGATGTACTCCTGGTTGATCCATATTGTATCACAGGACAGATTCCCCTTCTTTTCAAAGGCTGAATGGTATTCCCTGGTGTAGATATCCCACATTTTCTTTGTCCACCCATCCTTAGGTGGACACTTAGGTTGGTTTCATAGCTTGGCTCTTGTGAATCAGGCTGCAGGGAACATGGGACTGTAGATATCACCATAAGGTGCTCATTTCATTTCCTTTGGATCTACACGGAGGAGTGAGATTGCCAGGTCATATGGTAGGTTTATTTATTTATTTATTTATTTGAGATGCAGTTTTGCTCTTGTTGCCCAGGCTGGAGTGCCATTTCGTGACCTCGGCTCACCACAACATCCGCCTCCCAGGTTCAGGCAATTCTCCTGCCTCAGCCTCCTGAATAGCTGGGATGACAGGCACATACCACCCAGCCCAGCTAATTTGTATTTTTAGTAGACACAGGGTTTCACCATATTGGTCAGGCTGATCTCAAACTCCCAACCTCAGGTTATCCACCTGCCTTGGCCTCCCAAAGTGCTGGAATTACAGGTGTGAGCCACCGCACCCATCTGCAATGAATACGGGAGTGTAGATGTCTCTACAAAGTGCTAATTTCATTTCCTTTGGATCTATATGGAGGATTGAGATTGCTAGATCCTATGGTAGGCGTATTGATCATTTTTTGAGGAACTCTCAAAAAAAAAAAAAAAATAAGGCCACCCCTTTAGACACACCTTAAAATCCAACCTCTCTGGTCAAAGATACTTAAAAAAAATGATGACGACATCCAACTGTAGTCTCCTGTCCAATGCACATTCACTTCCTAAGACATGAAAGAAACCACGCCGGGTGTGGTGGCTCATGCCTGTCATCCCAGCACTGTGGGAGGCCAAGGCGAATGGGTCACCTGAGGTCAGGAGTTCAAGACCAGCCTGGCCAACAGAGTGAAACCCCATCTCCACTGTTTTCCGTAATGACGGTACCAATTTCCATTGCACATAGAACACGTAATGCCTTCCCTCCCCACCTCCCTAAATACGAGGGATGAAGCAGAAGGCAGATGCACTGTGTTGGGGACTTGTGTGGTGTTTGTCTGCACATGCAGTAGTTGCTCAGTAAATGCAGGAACTACTCCAGCAAATGTCCTACATCCAGTTCCTTAAAGAAGCTCCCTCCAGATCTGAGGAGACAATTGCTGAAGGTGACGTTGGCCGAAGAAGATATCGCACATGCCACCCACCTTCTCCATTCCTCCAATGTGCTGCCTCTGTCCTATGCCAGTGTTGACTCTGCCACCATGGAAAATGCCCTGCCCACAAAGGTGGTCTTCCCAAATAATCGCTTCACCTGGCTTTTTTTTGATGCTCCCAGCTTTTTTCTGGCCACGTTGGTCTTTCATGGGAAGGTGGAGGCTTCCTTCTTACTTCGTCCCACCTTCCAGCATGTTTCCCTTTGATTTTCCTTTTTTTTTCTTTTTCAGATGGAGTCTCGCTCTGTTGCCTAGGCTGACGTGCAGTGGCGCGATCTCGTCTCACTGCAACCTCCGCCTCCTGGGTTCAAACGATTCTTCTGCCTCAGCGTCCAGAGTACCTGGGATTATAGGCGCCTGCCACCATGTCTGGCTTTTTTTTTTTTTTTTTTTGAGACAGAGTTGGGCTCTGTCACCCAGGCTGGAGTGCAGTGGCCTGATCTCAGTTCACGGCAACCTCTGCTTCCCGGGTCCTGGTTCAAGCGATTCTCCTGCCTCAGCCTCCCTAGTAGCTGGGATTACAGGCACGCACCACCATGCCCAGCTAATTTTTATATTTTTAGTAGAGACGGGGTTTCACTATGTTGGCCAGGCTGGTCTTCAACTCCTGACCTCGTGATCTGCTCCCCTCGGCTTCCCAAATCCCAAAGTGCTGGGATTGCAGGTGTGAGCCACCGTGCCTGGCCGCACCCTTTGATCTTGCGATGACTGATACAGCAGAGCCGCCCAGCAGTGGATGACTACTTAGATTTTAAAAGTTCATGAGATTTCATAAATCAGCTCTTGAATGTACAAGGCCCCAGTGTAAAGGTTACCTTGACTTTGAATTTTTTATCCTTTCTTGTTTTGTTTTGTGTTTGATGCATAGGACATTTATAGATGGAAGATAGCTTTCAGGCTATTTCTTCCTCTCCCTCCCCTCGAAACCCACCTCCCTGAAATGCCTGCCGCCTCCTCAGCGCCAAAAGACTCTGAAAGCAAATATATGACGACAGTCTATCATGTTCTATTTCTTTAAGGAAGTCAAAGGTGCAGATTACCTTGGCAGCTTCAGTCTTCTGATGTTTGAAACTTTGAATTCCTTCAAGGGAGTGACAATTTAGATATTCCTTTTACTCTGCCCCGAAGGATGAGCTTCACGCTATTGATCGTAGCCGTCTCCTGCTGGAAACACACACATTTCCAACTTCACTAGTTTCACCGCCTCTCCTCTCTTAGATATTTTTAACTCCTTGCTGAAAACACTTCTCATTGTTTTTTGAAAAGTGCACTCTGGTAGTTAATTTGGGAGCCCATGGCCTTAATCCAGAAGAAAGAATACGGAATACAATGTTAGGATATCAAACCGCATGGTGTCTTCCTTGTGTTGGAGTGTGTAAATGCAATACACGGTGTTGACTCAGCATGCAGGAATGCCAGAGAGAGGGATCGTTTGGTCATGTATTTTCATGCAGAGCCGGGGATGGTGCTGTACTTCGGACTACCTCACTGGCTCGGGCTGGGTGCAGGTGGGATGGAGATAGACTGGCCCCACCCCCTTGGTACCTGCTCCTTGCAGGTCAGCTGTTTGAAGCTGGTGTCCTGACCCTCCCTTCCAGCTCTCCTGGCACCCAGGAGGTTCTTGTTCAAGCCTGTGCACTTCACCTGCTAGCTCTCATCTCCCTTCTCTCAACACTTTTTCCATGACCCTCTCTGAGAGGGAGTTTTGGGCTTTGCTCACCTTGGAAAGCAGTTAACACCACACGTTGCCAACAGGTTAATGAAGGATGAGGCTGAAGGAGGAAGAATTTGCCAAGCTCCATTCCCCTCAAGAGCTGCCCCTTCAGAAACACCTTAAAATGCAACCTCCCTGGTCAAAGACATTTGAAAAAATGAGTATGAAAAGATCAGACTATAGTGTCCTGTTTAACACGCGTTCACTTCCTAAGACATTAAAGAAACCAGGCCGGGTGTGGTGGCTCACGCCTGTCATCCCAGCACTGTGGAGGCTGAGGCGGGTGGATCACCTGAGGTCAGGAGTTCAAGACTAGCCTGGCCAACATGGTGAAATCCCGTCCGTACTAAAAATACAAAAATTACCCAGCCATGGTGGCAGGTGCCTGTAATCTCATCTACTCGGGAGGCTGAGGCAGGAGAATCGCTTGAATCGGGGAGGTGGAGGTTGTGGTGAGCTGAGATCGCACCACTGCACTCCAGCCTGGGCAACAGAGCAAGACTCTGTCTCCAAAATAATAATAATAATAATAATAATAATAATAATAATAATAAACACCTAATTAATGTTCTTTCACCCCAGATTTCCTAGTCTTTATTTTAGCTGTAACATGCCTTGTAGGCAAAACACCTCTTTCCATCCTTCTAAAGGCATGTTGCTGAAACCTCACTTGAAGAGTTGTACAGAGCTGCAGAGACAGGAATAAGAAATCCTGAGCATGCAGCCAACTCACACGGGAACAGAAAACCAAACACCGCTTCTTCTCCCTCATCAGTGGGAGCTGAAGAATGAGAACACATGGACACAGGGAGGGGAACATCACACACCGGGGCCTGTCAGGGGGGTGGGAGCTAGGGGAGGGGTAGCATCAGGAGAAATACCTAATCTAGATGACGGGTTGATGGGTGCAGCAAACCACTATGGCACGTGTATACCTGTGTAACCAACCTGCACTTTCCGCACATGTACCCCAGAACTTCAAGTACAATTAAAAAAGAGAAAAAGAAAGAAATCGTGAGCACACAGTAGGAAGCGCGATAAGTGATCACGTGCATTGCGCAGTCTGTGAGTGCACACTGGGATGTTCCTAGCGTAAAAGCTCCTTCGAAAATTCCGTTTCCATCCTGACATTTTAATGCACATTTTTATGCTTATGCTATGCTCAGCTCTCACGTGCAAATTATGCCAGCAGGTGCCCTGAGTCCCTGTCATTATTGAAAAGTAGAATGTGAAATGCATTCGTACTTTCTGCCGATGCAGGCTAAAGAAAATGGCTCTTAAATGCATAGCTTTAGTCTGCCAAAATGACTGTCAAGTTAAACGCTAGCAAAAAGGGAAGTCCATCAAAGGCACATTTCAAATTTGTGTTATACTTCTCTTAAAAACCTCTTTTTTTTTGCAGTTAATACTTTCTGGATGATCATCCAAGTCATTGTATCTTTTTTCTTTTTATCCTTTTAGCTGGAAATAATGACAGCAAAGCCAAACAAGTTGTAAGCAAAATAAAAGAAGAAACCTTGAACGAGAAAGGTACCGAGAGATACTCCAATGGCTTTTTTTTCCCCCTTGGGACGGGTCGTTTGCGTGGTTCATGGCTGAGCTTCAGTCATGTGCCAAGTGGCATTTGGGAGCGATGTCTCTGCTTTTTGCAGTCTTCTTTTGGGGATTTCTGGCCCCATCGTAGAGCGGAAATGGTGAAGGCAAGGCGGAGATAGCATCGCTCAGCTCCGACACCTGCTAGGAAAGGCGTGTGGATGTGCTGGTAGCTTGCACTCTTAGTCAAATGTGGGTTCCCCGGGGATCAGGAGCCATTGTCCTTTCTTATTGACCTCCAGGGCACATGCCAGGAGGAGCCTCTGCTGGTCGGGAGTTCTTGACTTAAGATAAATTAGGCCAGGCATGGTGGCTCACGCCTGTCATCCCAGCACTTTGGGAGGCCAAGGCAGGTGGATCACCTGAGGTCAGGAGTTGGGAGACCAGCCTGGCCAACATGGTGAAACCCCGTCTCTACTAAAAATACAAAAATTAGCCGGGCGTGGTGGCGTGTGCTTGTAATCCCAACTACTCGGGAGGCTGAGGCAGGAGAATCGCTTCAACCCAGGACTGCCTGGGAGACAGAGCAACACTCTGTCTCAAAACAAAAAAGAAAGAAAAAAAGATAACTCAAACAGGAATGTGCTTGCCCTTAAGATTTTCGACCAGGTGCTAGACCAAATTCTGGTGTGCTCTTTCTGCCAGTTCACACTGAGCAAGGTGTGCACACAACTTTCTAATATCCTTCCAGATTCTCAATGCTCTGTCCTTTTATTTGATTATTTTACTTTTCATTTGTATACATGTAGGCAGTGCAAAGTACGGTTTTTGTTACATGGATGAATGGCGTAGTGGTGAGGTCTGCGCTTTTAGAATAGCTAACCCCTGAATCACGTACATTGTACCTGAGAGGTACTTCTTCATCCCTTGCCCGTCTTCCACCTCCCACCCTTCTGACTCTTCAGTGTCTGTTATTCCACTGTCTGCCCACATAGACACATTATTTGGCTGCCACTTATAAGGAAGAATGTAGGAGGTCGGTCAGGGTGGTGGGAAAAATTGTAGAAAGATGTAAACCTTCTTGGAAGGCCGGAACATTTTACAAACACTTCAGAATAAGATTTGGCTGAAGGCAGCCAGATTCTCTTATCCGGTGCCTGAAAGCTTAGGTTAGATAACAAGGGGAATGTGAAGAAACTGATCTAGGTAAGTTAGTTTACTTACGCATCGGAACCTGGCCTTTTATCATCGGCGCACAGAACTACTCTGTCCCTCTCTCCGGGTTACGGGGACAACCATATGAATTGCCCACGAATGTGTTGACTCAAGGCCTTTCTCATTGAATCTATACTAAATAAAGGCCCGCAGTGCCAGCTTGTCAAAGCCATGGCTGCTGATTCTTTTTTTTTGAGACGGAATCTCGCTCTGTTGCCCAGGCTGGAGTGCAGTGGCGCGATCTTGGCTCACTGCAAGCTCCGCCTCCCGGGTTCACGCCATTCTCCTGCCTCAGCCTCCTCAGTAGCTGGGACTACAGGCACCTGCCACTACGCCCGGCTAATTTTTTGTATTTTTAGTAGAAACGGGGTTTCACCGTGTTACCCAGGATGGTCTCGATCTCCTGACCTCGTGATCCGCCCGCCTTGGCCTCCCAAAGTGCTGGGATGACAGGCGTGAGACATCGCCCCCAGCAGCTGCTGACTCTTTACAATACCCTCCTCCGTGTCTGTGAACGGCCCCATCCCCTAGCCCACTCTTTCACTGGACACCTGTGTCTGAGTGCATTTGTTCATCTGTCCTTCAGCCAAAGTCTGTGCGTCGGACCCAGGAAGTTGGACTCGACGTAAGAACAGTGGGATTTGACTTTCGGTTTCTGAGTGATTTCCCTTAGGGTAATGGCCTCCAGTTCCATCCATGTTGCTGCAGGAGACAGGACTTCCTCCTTTTTTATGGCTGCATAGTATTCCATCGGGCATAGATCTATATTGTCTTTATCCTTTCGTCTGTTGTTGGACACCTAAGTTGTTTCCATATCTTGGCTCCCGTGAATAGTGCTGCAATGCACGTTTCTTTGATACAGCGATTTCATTTGCTTTGAGTCTATGCCTAGTAGAGGGATTGCTGAATGACGTGGTGCTTTTATCTTTAATGATCTGAGGAACTTCTGTGCTGTTTTTCATAGTGGCTGTACTAATTCACGTTCCCACCAATGGTGTCAGAGGGCCCCCTTTTCTCTACACCCTCCCCAACACTTGTAATCAATGACAGAAATCATCATTCTGGCGGGCGCGGTGGCTCGCACCTGTCATCCCAGCACTTTGGGAGGCCAAGGCGGGTGGATCACCTGAGGTCAAGAGTTGGAGACCAGCCTGGCCAACATGGTGAAACCCTATCTCAACTAAAAATACCAAAATAAGCCAGGCGTGGTGGCGGGGGCCTGTAACCCCAGCTACTCAGGAGACTGAGGCAGGAGAATCACTTGCACCCAGGAGGCGGAGGTTGCGGTGAACTGAGATCACACCATTGCAGTCCAGCCTGGGCGACAGAGCAAGACTCTATCTCAAAGAGAAAAAAAAAAATAACATAAAAAAACAGAAACAAAACAGCCTTCTGACAATACCATTTTAGCTGGTGTGCGATGATCGCTCATGGTGGTTTTGATTTGCATTTCCCTGATGGTTAGTGATGCTGAGTACCTTTTCTTTGTTTATTTTTTTGTTTGTTTGTTTTTGAGACGGAGTCTCACCCTGTCACCTAGGCTGCAGTGCAGTGGCGTGATCTCAGCTCACGGCAAACTCTGGCTCCCGGGTTCAAGCGATTCTTCTGCCTCAGCCTCCTGAGTAGCTGAGATTACAGGCATGCGCCACCACGCCCGGCTAATTTTTGTATTTTTAATAGAGATGGGGTTTCACTGTGTTGACCAGGCTGGTCTCGAACTCCTGACCTCAGGTGATCCGCGTGCCTCAGCCTCCCAAAGTGCTGGGATGACAGGCGTGAGCCACCAGGCCTGGCTCAGTACCTTTTCCTAAAAGCAGCTTTTCACATACCTGTTGGCCATCCACATGCTAAGAGCTTTTCTCAGCCGTGTTTATGTGTGGTACCTTACGTTTTTAAAAAAAATGCATATCCCTTCCTTGGCTGTTTGAATTGAGATGGTTTTTGAGAATTTCTCCAAGCAGAGACTGGGTGTAGTTTGATTCTTTGTTTGTTTGTTTTTTGGCACAAGCTCTCACTCTGTCGCCCAGGCTGGAGTACAGTGGTGTTATCTCGGCTCACTGCAACCTCCGCCTCCCAGGCCCAAGTGATTCTCCTGCCTCAGCCTCCCCAGTAGCTGGGAATACAGGCGTGCAGCAGCACACCCAGCTAATTTCTGTAGAATCGGGGTTTCGCCTCGTTGCCCAGGCTCAAGCGGTGCATTCACCTCAGCCTCCCGAAGTGCTGGGATGACAGGCGTGAGCCACTGTGCCTGGCCTATTTTGATGATGATGGCGATTGGAGACGGAGTGTCACTCTATCATGCAGGCTGGAGTGCAGCGACGTGATCTCGGCTCACTGCAGCCTCTGCAGCCCGGGTTCAAGCGATGGTCCTGCCTCAGCGATTCTTCTGCCTCAGCCTCCCGAGTAGGTGGGATGACAGGTGCCCGCCACCACGCCCGGCTAATTTTTGTATTTTTAGTAGAGACGGGGTTTCACCATCTTGGCCAAGCTGGTCTGGAACTCCTGACCTCATGATCCACTCGCCTCAGCCTCCCGAAGTGCTGGGATGACCGGCGTGTGCCACCGCGCCCAGCCTTGATTCTTTTGAAAAGCCGTGAGAGTGAAATGAACAGCACACAGAGCTGAGCCAGATCCCTGCCTGTCCTCATATCTCCTTTCTACCCTAAGCTGTGGTGAAACACCTTGTTGCCTCTGCCAAGGACTGGGGTGTGTTGAAATTTGATAGCCAGCATGGCAGGATCCCTTTGATTTTCAGGAACACACCCGTAGGGGCTCCCCCTGAGGCAGAGCCAAGCCCAGCGTGCGATACCACAAACTGGCAGCAGCCTGGCCAGATCTTTTCTCCTCATTAGGATGTGCCTTGGGGCGAAAGGATTGGTTTCTGTGTAGTGGGATAATTAAGGAATTAGAGAGACCGAGGGGTTGAGGAGGAATTACTTAATTATTTAGGTGTACCCACCCGGTCGGATTAACATTTAAAGGACTGAGTGTTTTGAACAAAGAGTTTGGATGTTTTTTAAGTATTTTGTGGGGCGGGGGGAGATCTGTGTAGGGGGAAGTATATTATAGAAATGAGAAACAAAGACGCTTATTTAATTGAGACATGTATCCTATTATTTTTTATTTTTTAAGGAATACTATGTTTTCTGATTTCAGATTATTTGCCTAGTGACTTTGTAGCTGTACCGCTGGAGAAACACTTCTTACAATGCTTGGGAAAGGGAGAGATAAAGCTTCTTTAGCCACAGAAAAGCAGGTGGTTAATTTTTAAAGGACTTCAGCTCTTTTTCTTCCTCAGGGAGAATTGGGTTTTCTCACATCCAGCTGAGTTTTTGCTTATGTATTTTTTAATTTTTGTAAATTCCCGTTTCATCTGTGACAGTGGATCCTATTCTCTGCCACCTTGGCCCTTCCCCATTTGCAGCAGTTTTTCAAAGAACTGGCATTTTCTAACACAGTGAATCCCTTCTCCGGACCTGTAACACCAGCATTTCCGGGGAGCAGACAAGAAATGCAAGTTCCCAGGGCCCCCCTGTGAATCAGGGCCGGTGGGGGTGGGGGTGGGGCCCTGGAATCTGCATTCTTATGAGGCCGTTAAAAGATTCCCAGGTGCCTTCAAGTGGTAGATTTGCGCCATCCTAAAGGCATTCAACCATCAATCTGCAGCCCAAGGAGAAGTTTCTGGAAACTGGCAAGTGAGGCATTCTTTCCTCATGACGTTTTGCTTTTAAATCTGAATGGCTAAAAAACTATATAAAGAATAGTTTCCAAAAATTCACATA